TGTTTGCTCTGGGTGGTGAGATTGCGACGTGGCAATGGACAAGGCGTCCTGGTTCTACTAGTTTCAAACACCGCCGTGGACGGTTGATGGGATTCCGATGATGCCCTTCCTTGGGTTTCCCTGATTTTGAACATGTCGGTTCATCTAGACGACGCCCGGAGGCCTCAACGGAGTCAACTTTAACGCATTCGGATGAGTCCTGGGGCAATCACCCGTCGAGATGCGAGCGCCAAGCTGGGTTTTCGGTGGCAGGAATGCGCCATTGCATCGACGGCTGGAACAAGCGCCAAAGTCGCGATCGTGTCAGCAGTATCGATGACGCACCCATTTGAAGATGACATCGCTTTTTACTATGAGGAGATGGGCAGAGTCGGCACAGCCGGCCCCTGGAAAGGCTTGGGGTCCCAAGAAGCTCCTCCATTATTCGTGCTTGGCCATGCTCCTCGAGGAGCTAGGCTTTTTACGGACAGCTGTCTTGGGGAGCTAGCAAGGATCTCCCCTCGTTGGGGAGCTCTCGCAGCTTCCACAGACTCGAGACATTCAAGACATGCTAAACATTGACTGGTCGAAGCGAACTCAGGGGACAGCGGGAATGGCCCGAATGGCCCTGCATCTGGTGTGGGATGCGGGCTGTTGGATGCGGGGAAGAAGTCTGCAGTCGATACCCTGCCCTGTCCCCCTTCATCTCTTCTGCTCTGCTGCCCGGGCAAATGAGATACAACATCAAGACACCACTATTGTATCGTATCCATCCCCAGTCTACGGCAATCAGCAACAGCAAGGTGCATGAGACTCTCAGTAACAATATGAGGCTGAGCATGCAGGAGAAGACACCCTTTGGGCTTTACGAATAATACATGACTAATTCGCCATGTTGCCAGGTAGCATTGGGAAGCGCGCCAGCACAGCTCGTCGCCGGCGCCGTCGGAGCCACTCCCGTCCCCAAATGGCGCTAGGCGGACTATCCTGACGACATTGACTTTTTTGCCCTCACTCGTCTGTGGGAAGCTGTGCCCAACGGGATGACAGGCTTGCGCAGCTCCCAAGACATGGTGCGATGCCAATGGCCTCTTGCGTCTTGCGTCTTGCGTCTACTACGTTCCCGGCGGCGATGCAATACTTTGCATTCCGCTCTTCGTTTGGTGCTTTTTTGCGATGACAGCTCTGGGAATGCCCAATTCCGCGGCAATGGCTTCGTCCCAGATTTGCATGTTCAGATGGAGCTTTCCCTGTAGAATCAAGCTCTATCGAAGTGTTCTCAGGGGCTCCATAGGAGCTTGTAGGTTTAAGAGACATAAGGTACCGGCTAGACCGTGTCACCACCGGCGAATCAGGCAACGGTTCCCCGGGATTCGATCCGATCATCACGGGGCCAACAACACACACTCTCGCCGTACCCCCGTACCACCGGCGCCCCCAGCTACTTGCTCTCTCCCACGATCGACTTGGCACTTTTTTGGCGATCCCGTACCCAAGCCTGCCCAGCGCAGCAAGCGTCGTTGTTGTCGCGCAAAGCTAGGGAGGACTTCTCCACCCCCTCCCACCCAAGGCCTGTTCGGTCTCAATCCCTGGCGCCGTCGTGATGTCGACCAAGACCCTTGTCTGGGGTTGCCGACGAAGTAGCCTGTGTTTGGGGGCCGCCGGGCAACAAGCTTGATTCTTTCGGCCCAGCGCGATGGGTATTGGCTCCCCTCTCGGTTTCGAGAAAGTGTTTGTCATGACTCTTCATCGGCTGGTCACGCCAAGGAGAGAGGGAGACATGTTTCTTTAAAGAGTGTGCTCTTGCCCCTTCGTTCTCCCTTTTTGTGACAGCCAGTTCGACAAGCTTAGGATTTAAGTGGAACAGCAACACCTTCTTTACACAGCCATACACAACGCAGCACGTCTGTCGACATCAATACACAATGCAGGTCAAGAACCTCTCCCTCCTGGCTCTGGCCGGCACGGCCTTTGCCCAGCAGTCGAACCTCACCGAGGTCCTAACCTCTCAGAACTCGACTCTGTCGACGCTCATCGGGCTCCTTGGCCAACAGCCCGCCGTCCTGCAGGGTCTCGCTCAGGCCCAGAACATCACCATTCTCGCTCCCTCTAATGCTGCTCTCGATGAGTTCCTCAAGGCTCCCGCCGTTGCACAGGCTGTTGCCGCGGACCCGGGCTTGGTTGCGGCTATCCTGTCCTACCACGTCCTGAACGGCACGTACTACGCCTCTGCCTTCACCGAGCAGCCTCAGTTCATTCCTACCCTGCTCCAGAACGAGACTTACACCAACATTACCGGCGGCCAGCGCGTGCAGGCTCAGACTGTCGGCGGCAACGTCACCTTCTTCACTGCTCTTCGTGAGAACTCTACCGTCTCGCAGGGCAACCTGAACTTCACCGCCGGCACCGTCCACATCATCGACAAGGTCCTCTCCGTCCCGGGATCCATCAACACCACCCTGCAGCAGGCCAACTTGACCGCTGCCGTCGGTGCCATCCGCGCCGCGAACGTGACTAGCACCCTTGCTGCTGCCAAGGACCTCACCATCTTTGTCCCGAACAACGCGGCTTTCGCTGCCATTGGAAGCTTGGCCGGCAGCATTGGCTCTGCCGAGCTTGCCCAGATCTTGTCGTACCACGTTGTCGGCTCGGTCCTGTACAGCCCTCAGATCACCAACACTTCTTTGACTACGCTCGGCGGCGGCAACGTTACCGTCAGGGTCATCAACGAGACTGTCTACGTCAACGAGGCCAAGGTTGTCGTCCCCAACATCTTGGTCGAGAACGGTGTTGTCCATGTCATTGACGGGTAAGCCAAACAACTACAAACCTAAACGAGATGGTATGGAAGACTAACGTGTAAATAGTGTCCTGAACCCCAACAACACCTCTGTCCAGCCCGATACTTCTGCCTCGACTCGTCCCCCTGCCTACTCTGGCGCTAGCACCGCCACTGACGGAAGCAACCCCTTCACTAGCGGCGTTGAGGCTCCCTCCACCACCCCACCTGTTGCCACCGAGACTGGCGCTGGCAACGGCGGCGGCGCTGTCCAGACCACTACTAGCAGCACCCAGGCCGCTCCCATGCGGACAGCTGCCGTTGGTGCCGCTGCGCTGTTCGGCGGTATGGCCGCATACATGAACATCTAAGCAGGATGTAAGGTATAAGAAAAGCGCGAGGGGTACAGGTGCGAGGAGGATTTTGTTATACCACGAGAAAGAACGATGTTTTACCGTCTGACTTGCAGATGTTCATTCATTTATATCGTCAATACCCTGAGAGGAGTGTCTTGTAATAGTAGCACGAGAGTGGAGGAGGATGGTTTGGTAGGAACGTAATGAGAACATTGTTATTGCAATATCAGTATCGAAAGAAATACATATGTGAAAAGACGAAGCTTTTGCGCAGGTTTTGTACGTCAACCTGCATAAGGTGTTATCGTTCATGTCCATGTCTGTGGCCGACACATTCGACTTTTGATGCTCAATTGACAATATTTCTTGCACGGATGTTGGTCCCCAACTCCTCACCATGATGCTTCAACCACAGGAACAGAGGTTGCTGTTGAGAGCAGTGCGTTGGGTCGGACAGAAGAATGTAAACCTGGTTTTAACTGAGGTGCATCTAAAGAAATCTGACATAGTAGATGGACTTCGATGACCGCACTTGAAAGTTGATAAGGGAACAATAAAATCAACGGACTTATGATGTGCCGTAGGGCATGATTAGATTCGGCGATACGAGACTCGGAATTCGGTTGGCAACGCATGTTTTGGCGCTAGAAATGCGGAAGTACCAACCTTCTTCCAACTCAACCCCGCTGAACGTCCGGTCTTTTGAGTGGCCGTCTAGGATTCGCCGCAAGCCAACACGACTCAGGATCCAAACAAGCAGTACTTTGAGATTAGTCGCGCCTGTGCGGTTATATCAGCACTTGCCAGCTGTTTCAACGCCTTTTGGTAGTGGTGGCCTTGCAATCTTTCAAACCAAAAGAGGTTTTAGGCGACGGCTGCTTATCACAACGAAACACCATGGCATTTTGATCGCCACTTTTAAGTGACGATGCCGAACATTGCCATGCGTTGCCAACTTCAGCTTGAGTGCATTTCCAGCCACGAAGATGTTCGTCTGTTGACAATACCACCGTAAATCCCACCTGCCAGTGTACTGCACAAAGGCCGCTCAGATCAGCTTACCATACAGTTAACCAAAGTGATGCCATGTTCAAAATCAGCACGAGCAAGTAATGGCTTCGAGAATAACGCGAGGATTTTGCGATACCACTGCTGGAGTGTTGGTAGATTAATTCCCCATTTCGACTGAAGTAACTCGAAACTTTGCCGCACTAGAGCCAATGACGCTCCAACTATTTGATGCTCGGGTTCGCACTTTCATCCGGGAATTAGGGAAACGAAGAACCAATAGGTATATTTTGCCGGCCCGGAAAGCCATCTGAATGGTTTCGCAACTCTTGCGGAAACCTTGTGGGGGAAGCCCAATGGGAGAAACTCCCACCGGCAACCGGGCCAGTCTGGAGCGTGCCCGCCAGAAAGCATGAAACATAGGGTTCAACTCTGCTGCGCGTGCGGGCGAGTCTCCGTAAGGCAGCTGAAGTCCCTGCGCTTGTCGCTGGAGGCCCGAGCCTTGCATTACCACGCCATTTTCAAACTTGTAGGTGCCGTCGGCCGAACATTGGCGCAACTCTCGGGTTTGTATGACGGCGATTGGGCCGGGATGACTCTTCGTTCTCACCTCCCTCATATCTAGGCGGGGTACTTGATAGGCCAGTATTCAGGCGACATGTATTGACTCCCGTCTTCTAGAGCTATTCCATTTGAGCCCAATCCTTTATTTCTGCCCACCAGAAAAATAGCTAAATGGTTCGTCGTCGCCACGTGGGCGGGCCGTAGTCGCACATGTCCAATGCTTGCTCCTTCAGCGCTTCCGCCTGACGTTGATGATGGAGTTGAGGTTCCAGACACTCTGTATCTGGTTTCTCTGCGGTGTTGCCTTGGCCCAGAATTCGACTGAGCCGCCAGCGCCGTTGCCGGTGAACGGTTCGCAGCCGACGACTGGCTCAAGCACGACGAACGGCACGTCTCCCGTCTTCGCTCCGTGCGCTGTACGTTTTCTAGCTATACAACCGTGGTTTCTTTGCTGATGTTGTCAGTTGGACTGCATATCTCGAGAGGTCGTCCTGTCGCCCTGCCAGACTATCGACAACACAACATGCGTCTGCAACGACCAAGGGTTCTACAAGCAAGTGGAGAAATGCATCATGGCGGGATGCACTCCACGAGAAGGAATTGGTGAGCAGGACAACATCCCTCTTCCTTCCCGAACGCCATTCCCTCGTGCTTATGCGCTGCACAACAGCTACGCAGAAGGCCAAGGCGGATTACTGTCACGACCCCGTTCGCTCGCAAGTAAAAATGCTCTACGGACTTCGTTCGCTAGAGATAGCCGCCTGGTTTCTGGTTTTGTTTCGATTTTACGCTCGCTGGGCTACACGATTACGATACGGGTGGGACGACTATGTAATGATGGCAGTAGCGGCAAGCATATCCTTTCGAATCGACAGCAGAAGACGGAGAACTAACAGATGGTAGATAATATACATTCCCGAGCTGGTCATCAGTCAGTTGAGTATGCTTGATCATATCACCATTCGCAAGCAGGTTCTAACCATACTGCTAGTGGATGACAATGCCTTCGGTCGTGACACTTGGAACTTGGAGTGGGACAAGATTATGCTGGGCCTGAAGGCAAGTCTATCCGATACACGACGCTTGCTTATCCTAACCCACCCTAGCTCTTTTTCGTTCAAGAACCGCTCTACTTACTGCAGCTGGGACTTACGAAAATTTCCATCCTATTTTTGTACTTGCGAATCTTCCCCGGCCGACGCTTCAAAAGAATCACATACGCCTTTATCATCTTCGTCGCCGGCACCACGGCTGCCCTTGTTGGCGGATCCATCGTCGAATGCTGGCCCATTGGATATTTCTGGGAGGCATGGAATACAGAATATCTGATCCACACCACCAAATGTCTCAACTTGACGGCGGCGGTGTTTGTCGCTGCGGGAGCTTCCATATTTCAAGACATCGTTATGATTATTCTTCCCATACCGCCCTTGCTAAAAACGCAACTACCAAGAAAGGACAAGATAGGAGTCTCTATCATGTTCATTCTTGGTCTCCTCATCACTGGCGCAAGTTGCTTTCGCATGCAATATATCAACGTCGCATACTCACCCAATCCTTTTTGGGACTTTGAGCCAGCCTTGCTTTGGTCTCTTGTCGAACTTGCGATGTCTTTCCTCGTCACAAGTCTTCCAGCAATACATAGCTATCATACACAGATAGTAAGGCCTAATGTTAGGGCTTATCTCCAATCACGGCGCGATGCAAAGTCCTCCCAGCATAGCGGCAGTGGGCCAAGTGGGCACATGCAAAGCAATGGACGATCCCGTTTTAGGACTGCGCTGGCAGGAAGAGGGCAAAGAAGAGGAAACAACAACCTGATATCAACACTACTTTTCACGCCAATATCGTGGAAGTCATCTGCCGACAGAGAATCTCGTCAAACGAGAGAAAGGTTTCCGACGCCACAGGATGAAAGTGTTTTTGGGAGCAAAGCCCCACAGATCTCACTCAAAGATCTTGGCGGAACTCCAGGGCTACAGAGTCTGTCTGATGTGGTTAATAGGAGAGACTCAATACAGGAAGAAAGGGAAACAGCACACGGTTTGGCTTGGGCTAGTAGGTCCGCCCCTAAAAACACCGAGTTGAAATTTGGAGGAGATGATACCATATCCCCATCAAAAAGTACACAAACGCCAAAAAGTTGGCTTGCAGGAGATGACATCGTGTAGAAATCGGAGAAATAGAAGATAATACTGGTGCATTCACTTCGAGTAGCGACAGAGACGAAGGTAATTTGCTCAGTCGATCCTTTGGCTTCCGGAAATCCATATAGCATCTTGTAAGCGCCCCAGAATGAATCTCGATGTCGTTTAAAAAGCTTTTTCTTGAACTATGCAGCCTGTGATAAGCCAGGGTTGTTTTCTGGATTATCTCAGACTGATAACATGCGTAAAAACAGTCCGTGGGAAGTCAAGATCTCACAGGACAGAACCGCATGGATAATCATCCGGGACGGAAACCAGACCAAGGGTGGAAATAGGCATAGGATCGAATCATTTCAAGGATTGACTTTCCGAACGGCCGTTCGATTAACTGTTAGTCATCACTGATCAGCTTCAAATCCGATAATCCGAGTCACGTGCATATGAAGCGTGAGCGAAGGCTCCGCTTGGAGATCCGGCAATGTGGAGATTGATCCGGAGGAAAAACTCTTTTGTGGAGCTCCGATCCGCCGATACCGGCCGCCGTCAGCCGGGCTAGGGAGCATCTGACGAAGCTGGGAAAACTGTGGAAGACCTTGTCAACTCTTGCGAAACTTAGCTGGAATCTGACAGCTGCGATACGGTGCCTGCGTCAACCGTCCTTTTCGCCCACCACAAGTATGGACAAGGATAGCAAAGTCGTGATCATCGGCGCCGGTGTATTTGGTTTGTCAACGGCTGTACAACTTGCCATTGAGGGATTCAAGAATGTTGCGGTGGTTGACAGACATCTGCCACCTGTATGAATTTGCGTTAACGTTCTCGACGTAGGGCCATGGCTGATAGTTTAGCAGGTTCCAGACGGATCGAGCTGCGACATCTCTCGCGTCATACGGTTTGATTACGCCGATGAAGACTATTTGAACGTTTCATACGAGGCCTACCTCAAATGGAGCAAAGATCCAAAGTTCAAAGGCATCTTTCATCCCGCGTCCTACATACTGACGGGTAGCATCGGAGGAGATCAATCTTGGATCGACAGGACGACCAGGCAACTGAGCAACAAGGGCTTGGCCTGGACCAAACTTGGTGATGCTGCAGCCGCGAAGAGAGAATTTCCAATTCTTTCCGGTAAGCTTGCTGAGCCAGGGTTCAAAGGCTACTACAACGACGCAGCAGGATGGGCAGACGCCACAAAGGCAATCATCCAGCTTCGAGATGAGTGTCTTGAACTAGGCGTTTCATTCATTTCGGGCCCAGCTGGAACCGTGGTTGGTTTTCATACGGACTCAGACAACAAGATTCGATCAGTCCAGACACTCGGAGGCATGTCAATCCCAGGCGATCACTTTGTCCTGGCCGCGGGCGCTTGGTCGTCTAACCTAGTTCCAATGTATAACTCAACACTGGCGACAGCGCAGGTGATAGCATACACCCCTCTTTCCGATATGGAAGTGCAACGATATGAGAAGTTGCCTATCTATGCAAATTTCAACACCGGCTGGTTCAACCTCCCCCCCACACGCAGACACGAAAACTCTGAAGATGGCGGTGCACGGATGGGGCTACACTCGTACTCCTAGCAAGGGGGAAGCGTTGATCGAGACAAACATCTCTACGCCCCGCGTGTATCCAAGTCGCGAACGCCCCAACTTCTGTCCTTCCGAGGGAGAAGAAAGGCTGCGAAACGGCCTTCGCGAGATATTGCCGGAACTTGCCGATCGCCCTTTCGAAAAAGTGACCATGTGCTGGTACACCGACACCCCATCAGGAGACTTCATCATGGACTATCACCCTGATTACCAAAATCTGTTTGTGGGAGGAGCAGTAAGCGGACAGTAAGTTGGAATAATGATTCAATAGCGTAATAGATGGGTTGTACTTACGGCTGTTGCGCACAGTGCTTTCAAGTTTCTCCCTGTCCTGGGAAAATACATGTCACTAGGGCTGAAGAGAACGTTGCCTCGGAATCTGTCTTCCAAATGGCGATTCAGAATGGAATACAAGGATCGACCCGACGTTTTCGAGGGAGACGGGAGTAGAGGAGGACCTTCCAGACGTGAACTTAACTCAGAAGAAAGAGCCCGCCTGGATTCGGTGGTAAAGAGTCACCTCTGAAGTCGTAGGGCACTAGTCTCACAAAGGCCATTATCTTGATTTGATACATATTCAATGAGAAGAACCATCCGTCCCCTAATTTGATATTTCTTAGGTAGTTCGCAATACCTCGAGATCGCGGATCATTTACCAGCCCTTGTTTGTCGCAGCCCAGTCGCGGATCCAGGAATATCGACTGCGGAACTAGCCCCAGCCTCCGTCGACGGCATAGGCAATCGTGCTAGCTTTAAGAATGCCTCCTCTTCTGTCACTTTGGCCAATCTCATTTTTTCAGCTTCCGCCGCTAAGCGGGACCGAGTAGCCTCCTCCTCGCTCATGGAAGGATCGATACTCCCATGTAATTCACTTTTCACATCGTCCCATCGCAAACCCTGTCGGCGGTCCTTCTCTTTCTTGATATTCTCCCCAAGCTCCGTAGTCGTATTGAGCTGGACAGTGTACATCGGGTTACCATTCTCTCCCGCTGAAGGAAGCATTCCTCCAGGCTTTGATAACGGGATGGCCCTGCACGCTGCCACCAGCGCACAGTGAAACCTGTTGCTGCGTTGAGAGCGAAGCTTGTCGTCGGACCAGTTGTTACGATGAGTAAAAGCCAGTCGAAGCTCCATCTTATTGAGTTCATGAAGGCTGACGACATTGAGGCCCAAGCTCTCCGGAACAAAGTCTCGTGAATTGTTGCTGAGAAATTCCTCCATAATAGTGCGAAGGCGTATAATGTCCTTGAAGCCGGTCCTGAAGTCCACGAACATTGAGATTCCTTGTCGATTAATGCCTGACCTTGAGAAGTTCTCAATGCGTTTTTGAGAAAGTCGGTCATTGGAAATTTGCAGATCGCAACCGTTGTCGAGCCGCCTGAAGACCGTGTACAATAGGGACTGGCGTTTGACGACGCACTGAGTTCCAACAGTAGAACCAGGATTGTAGACGTTGACAACGTCGCCCACGTCGTAGGGATGATCAAAGAAGACGAACACAATACCCACCAAAAGATGATGGAACGTCCGGCCGACCGCAAAAGAAAGTCCGATCGCCAGGCTGGACAGAATTGTCTGAATCTGCTTAATAGCCGGCACGTATGCGACCACTTTGACCAGTGTAAGCCTATGACCATGTGGAATAATCTGCACGATACTCACTGATGAAGAATATCATTACAGCTGCAAGGATAAGCAAGAGAAACCAGTCGAATGTGTTGATGCAGTGGTCCATGTTGGTCATGTTGCGGTAGATGTTGTGTCGAGTTTTCCCACCTTCGGTGACTATGCCAATGAACTCCTCAATTCGGATGTCGGGGCTGTTGTTTTCGTTCACAGTCTTGAATATGCGAATGGCCTCTTCTTTTCGGTAAGGGCCAAGAACGTCAATGATGTCGTTAGCAGTGAGACCTGATTTGCCCTCTGCCACAAGTGGCAGCCATATGCGTCTTGCCAACGCTTCAGCTGAGACCGGACTAGCCCATGCCCGCTCGATGACTGCGTAAGTACTTGCAGGCCGAAGCCAATGTGCATTAGGATCGTCTGATATGAAATTGCCAAAGAGACTTGTCATTTTGTAGCCGTCGATACCCATCCGGGCGAGGTAGCTGCTGACCCTCGTTCGGCCAGAAGCATGGGCGTCGCCTTTGGCGTTTCGAATGAGCATGTCTTCTCGGGCGAATAAGGTTCGATGAGGAGGGTGAAGATAAACAGAAGCGTCGTATAGTGTGATCAACGCGTTTTGCAACTCTCTTGTCCGGGTGAGCTTCACGTTGTCGCCCCGATAATGGTAGTGAATCGTGATGTAGGTGATGAAGATCTTCTCGATGAAGTAGAAGCAGACCCAAAGGATCAGTTGCTGGAAGACGTCGGCAACGACGTCATCCCACCAAAAAGCGTCTGCCGGCTTGTTGATGTTGACCGCCAAAAGATTGTTGTCTACAATGCACTGCAACAAGATAAGTGTTAGTCAGTGCACTTCAACTACGGCTGGTATGCAGTTAAAGAAGTGACAAACCGCTGCGAAGAAGATATAGGTGACCAGTGTTGTGCCGAGGAACGCTATCGGTCGCCGCATGAACTTGAAAGCCCTCCAGTACTTTTGGTGGGAGGGATTCGTGTATCTATTTTGGTTAAGGTTTGGCCGACGAGATATTCAAACTGGCCAACATACCTGGCAATGAGCCTGAAAAAATATGGGAATCCAAGACCAATGAGGTCTGAACCTACGGCTGCTATCCATGTAACCATTAACCACAGGCAGATGTAGAACACAAGGTTGGTGTACTGTTTTGCTTGAATGCTCTCAATGGTGCTGTCATCGGCAAACTCGGCGTCGTTGCTCAGGACAATTGTGGGGACAAGAAGTGCCACGAAGATAACAGCAGAAATGAGAAAATATCGAAGAGCCCACCAAAATAGTCGGCGTCTATGATGAGTCTTAACAACTGGTGGAACTTGCTGTTGGATCGCCTCCGAATTCGTTGGAAATGCTTCTAAGCTTTCAATCTCCCGAGCCCCCGGGATAGGCTGGTACGCTTTGGTATCGGCCCATGTTTTGGTCGGTGAGTCTTGTGTTGCGATGGACTCAATTTGAGGAAGCATCTGAGGATTGCAATTTGTGCCCGGCAGGCTCGATGAAGATGACCCAGGTGGAAATGGTTGAGGCATTGATTGGAATTGCTCCCGTTGGCTTCCTGGGACTGGTTTCCGATAGCTCGGCGGGAAGCTGTCTCGCGGATTTGAATTCATATTATCCTGCAGCCCCGGTGAATTCAATAAAGATACGAAGATAGTTCAAATCACCAGAAGCAAGGTCGTCCAAGATAGTGGGTTATCCAACACTTTTCAGTCTCCCTCTATTTACAGCACAGCTGCAAGGCAGCAGCTCATTGCGGCGTATTCGAGGGGCTGTGATGTCCACCCCACGCAAGCCACTTGTCAGAAGTGCTATCTATGGTGGATTAACTAGAGTGATTCTTGGCTTGAAATGGTGGTTTGAGAACAAGTGAAGGGTCTCATGTGCGGCGACTTCAGGGCGTTTCTCGCGCCATCAAATTTTAAGCTCTAGCTTGCCAAGTCTAGTGCTGATGGGCCCAATCCTTTCGTAGACACCTTGCGCATTTTAGACTGTCAATTTCCGCAACTTCCAACATGATAGGAGCATGACTTTGAGAAAGGATTCCTAGCGCCGCAGGGCTGAAAGCCGGACCGTTCACAGACTGGTGGCTGAAAGGGCACGGTTGCAAGCGGAAGCGGCATCAACGCGACGCTAGTCTAACGGTCAGAACTCTATGATTTCGGGTTTGCTCTAACCGTTGATCAGCGCTCCCACGACTAAGCGGCTTTAAAACGTGGTCCAGCCGCTCGCTCCATCAAGACATGCCTTTTTATTTCGTTGCCTGGAGGAGCACGTCCCGCCATGCAGTTCTGACTCGAAAGAGGGCTTGAATGTGGAGGCAAAGGCTGCGGTCCATTTCTCGCGACTCAATAATTTTGCGTCCCTTGCGGGACGACTGACCCAAACGCACCTCAGCGGCAATAGTTTTTGACGCAACACTGCAGTGACATGCTCTTAATGATTACGCGCAATCGAAATGTCAGACTGCAGGGCCTTGCACATGGGATGAGAAAGAACATCGAAGAAGCTTGCAGCCAATCTGCACTTCCATCGGATGCTGGGAGAATTGAGAGGGTCTCGAAGCTGTGGACCTCAACAAGTCACCGAGACGGAGAATGATATGGGCGACCATTGATCTGGATAGAAATTGTTTGCTACTGGCAGTCTGTAAAAAAATTGATGTGTCGAAGACATTTACTCGTGGTCATCAGGATGAAAAACAAGAGCTCGAACTTCAATGCTCTCTCGCGGCGGTGCATCTGGTCCAGCAGTGGGATCAATAAATGCCGTGTGGGGCACTCTTCGCGCCCTTCCATCTGTCTTGGTATCGAAGCACTTAATCAAGATAACTTCCTCCGGCGTGAGGCCTGCTTTGTAATACCACCGGTGTTCAGCATGATGTTTGACTTGATAAGTCTCTCCACGCCGGTTGGGATAAATGAGATCCGTCACAACCAAATCCGAGTCTAACACGGAGCCGGCCTCGGCGATGGCAAGAGGGTCTCGCTGGACCGTTTTGATGGGTCGCCAGACGTTGATGATCTGCACCCGGCCCTTGAGCAACTCTTCGGCATCCTCCGGCAGATGGTGGGGCACACGGGAGAGCGCGGCCTTGTAAGACTGGTCGATGTGAACCCTCTGAACGGGGCCGCGGGAGACCCGGTCCTGGGTTGCGGCACTGGGCGGCTGTCGGCGGATGGTGTGATCAAAGATGAAGATGCGATTTGCTCCAGTGCTAATTAAGTTGTCAGCCAATCTCTTTCTGGGCTTCCTGACGCCGCTATTACAGGGGGAAACCCGTACACGCTCTTCAACAGCTGTTCTACCTCCTCATAGTATCCCGACTTGATCTGGACGTCGTCAAGGAAGTGTTTCTCAGCAGATTGGTGACGATGGATTTGAAAGCCATGCTGGTCCAGAGTGTACTTCTCTTCATCCCCAGACACATCACGGATCTTGACTTGATGAGTCTCGAACGGTCTGTTGTATGTCTCGGGCTTATCAACATAAGTGGGATGCGGCGGCGAGCCGTCCTCGTTTTCTTTGTGATAGTGCAGCTCTGCAAGCACGTCTCTCTTCAATGCAAGTGGTGATGTGATGCTCTGGGTTGATTGATTTTGTGTCGAACCAAAATATGGTTGACCCTCGGAAGGGGCAAGATGCTGAACAACGGTCGTGGCCATTGGGCTGGTAGATCCAAATACAGTGGATATGGGAATGAATATCTGATGAATCCTGAGGCTGGTGCAAAGCCACAACATCTGGCAGAAGCAGGGGTCTGGTGTGAATATATACCCCAGATCTACATGGTCCCCGCAAGCACGCAATTCTCGTCCGACAATTAGTGTCTTTGGATTCATAAGCCGCCCAACGAAAATGATCTCCGTTCATTACCGATTTTTAGCACATGTTCCAGGTGTACCGGGTAGACACAGATACCGGTTACACGTGATCTTGAAGCGATTTCAAATCAGCCCGAGGCTCAAAGGAGGTCAGTGGATTAGTCCGCCGGGGTAGCAGATACATCGTACGAAACAAAAGACGGGGCGATCATCCGAGTGATTAATAATTATGATCTTGCTGATGCTCGCTGAAGGTCGAGGCGCGGCTATTTATCGAAGACACTTTATTCACAGAAGTAATTTAGACTCTGAGATAATTTGAATACCCGTTTTCACGATAGAGGGATATCGAATATTAAGGCTCGCGCGACATAGTTCTTATTGATAAAAACATCCTACAAGGTGACTCCAACTCAACGGCTTTGAACGCCAGTAAAGCTTCAAAACTCTTGCTTTCAGTCTATTGGAGTATGGACAAGTTTCGTAATAGTTGTCCCATCCACAAGCACCTCCTCCTTCTCTTCAATCCTGTAGCCTCTCCAACGCGGGACCAAAATGGTCCAGACGTACCAGTAGACCACGCCCGCACCCAAGCTTGGGTAGTTGATTAGCAATTAGCCACACAGAAGAGGGGTGTAAGGTAGGTACGAACATGCTGACGCCAACGATCGCGTATGTTGCGTAGAATAAGCCGTTCGATGGCTTAACTTTGGGTGGAAAGAATGGTGCGGCTAGCAGAGCCAGACTCAGACTAATTCTCAGAATCACAGCGGGGACCCAAGCCTTGAATGGTCTCTTGAGATCGGGTCGCTTGAACCTTAACCATAGAAGGCCACCTCCCACTGCCAATGCCATAAACTGGCCTGGATACCCCTCAACCTCTAGAATGAAGGAGTAGACTTCGCCAGAAGGAGGAAGCACAATGACCAGGAATGACGGGATATAGTGAACCAAGAGACCACCTAAAGGTGAGTTGAACGGCTTTGTGGATGAAAGAATATCGGAGAAGGGGAGGAATCCTTGCCGAGCAATCTCTTGCTTCAGTCGAGCCTAATAATAGTTAGCAATGATCAACAGTTTCAGTCGACTGTCCTAACCTGGGCGAATGCGACCACAAGAACATTTCCCCCAGCACTCAGTGCAACAGCAAGTGGTAGGATAGTTCGGCCAACACCTTGTCCAAATATTCGCTCAAAGAACAACGCTGCAATCAACTCGCCGCTTTGCTTGATTTCATCAATGGGGACGACGAGAAAGTACGCTATGTTGATGAGTAGGTACATTCCACAAGCGGTCGTCAATGCTGCCACAGTCACAGACCGCAGCGTGCGAACCGGGTCTTTCACCTCGTTGAGAACAAGGTTGGCGTTGTCGAGGCCGGCATATGAGTAGAACACTTTGAACAGTGAGGTGGATATAATACCCCAGTTCCAATTCGTGCCTTCCCACAGGTTCTCCCAGGAGATGATCGGCATCGTCGTTTGAGCCGATTCTGTCGATGGCGCGAAGAGCACAACATAGAACCCACAGACGATCATGAAGACGACGAGGCCCACCTTGACCCAGCCCAAGAAGTTCTGAAGCTTGATCCCCAGTCTAGGTACACATCCGTGAATGAAGGTGACCGTCGTAAGCAGCCCAACGGCGAGCGCTTTGCGCAGTAAGCCGCTTGGGTTGTCACCTCCCAAAGCAAACAAAAGATACTCGCTGAAGACAATACAGTTACTGGCGGTAAATCCTAGGAGGACGACGTGAATAGCGACGAGGGTTGATGCCAAAAACCGCGGTCGACGATAAGTGAATTCCAAGTAGACCTTATCCCCGCCGGACCGTGGTAGCATCGACCCAAACTCCAAGGATATCATCAGCCCACAGGCTGCGATGAGGGCTCCGACGAGCCAAAGTAAAAGAGACAGACCAGGACTGCCCACAGATCGGAGGATTGCACCTGGAGTGGCAAATATGCCGCTTCCGATCACCCTTGAGATCACCAGAATGTAGGCGCTCTGCCAGGTGAGCGTGCGTCCGAGAGTCGAAGCTTCCGGGAGGACATCGTCTTCAATTGATCTCGATGGGTGTATGTTTCCCGTTGCGAGTTCTGCCTCCGAAATCGAGGGCTTCCCCGACGAAACCGAGTTCTTAGGAGCGCTAGCTGACGAGACAGGCGATGGAGGGGGCGGCGTTATCGAAAGCAGAGGCCGCAGCTCGGGGTCGTCGAGGGCACTCATCATAGGGAACTGGGGAACGCGAGCCAGAATAGTTTCTAGGAGTTGTTCCTCCGAGACAATCGTGAAGAATAATTTGTTGGCGAAGAACTGAACATGCGTAACGGCGAGATTCACACCCTGTTATCGAAATGATATCGCGAGCGGCAGCACATGGTTGGAATCGGGCGGGTTATCATGCCGTCTGAAGAATGAGACAACTGGAGTATAGGCGACAAGGATGTGCATTGCGGCCTCGTGGAAAGCTTACGCGCAGGGCAGCAAAGTGATCCAAGGGAGGGTCAGCGGCAAACGACACATGTCCACGGACGTCTGTTGATTGATAAGAATGTGGATACAACAACTCTTCGATTAAGTCCCGTGAGGTGTGTCTCGAATGGCGCAATATTGTTTCAAGAATGTAAGTTTGGGAGGGCGAGCAAAGAAAATGCCCGATTGTATTGGGGCGCGGATTCGCACGCCATCATGGCGCAAGGTGACGAGACATGGGTGCGGCCTTCTTACCTCCCCGATATTGCCTGGCCTGTTTCGACACCTGTTGTAGGTACCGGACAGCCGCCCGTGCTATGGCCCGCCGTGTCCGTGCTACCGCGGAACTTCGGAAGCCCCCACTTCGGCCGAACTCTTCACATGCGTGCTCAACGAGAAGAGCCGTTGCATCTTGTTGTCCTCACCACAGATATGTTATCTGAGTTTGAAGATGTGAATGTCGCGCGAACTATGACTCTTCTAGGAGTTGTACTGCAGAGTTTCAGGGAACATCGTGCCTGAGTTCTCTTAACCCCGCAGCAGCTCCAAATCAACTCGGTAAACCGATTGCCGAACCTACCGAAGATCGTTCACAGAAATTGGCCGAGGCAACGAAACGAAATCGCATTGGGCCGAATGAGAGTTTTCTTTCCCAATAATTTCACTAACTGCTGCTTGGCTTGAATACGGACTTTTAAGAAAGAAAACAAATACCGTCGCATCCTTGCTGACGGTGCGAAATGGACTCATACTCGGGTCCTCGTGGGTCCTCGTCCTGTGCCGGCCCCAATTGACAAGACCACATACTTTTCCTGTGTCTGCGCGGCTATATTTCCCGTGTTCTTAAGTACCCCTACCTTGTCGATGACGATAGTAGCGATGATAAAGATAGTAGCGACGACGACGACGACGGTGAAGTAGCGTGTAGCCACAGGAAAAGTAGTCGCTCTACTACAGGCGATTGACCCCCATTCACTTCTCGTGTGATGTTTCTGCAACACCAAGCTTCCCGACGGACTGAACAAAAGTCCCAATATCCTGTTCGTAATTCACACCAGACTCCGATCCCAAGAGTCTAGGTATTAATAGCTCGACAGTGACAAGCCCAGCTTCCCCGCAGAACCAGTCTGGAAATTGACCCGGAGTTCCTGTTGCCCCGTAAGACACAAGCACGCTAATGAGCTCAACTGTGTTCTCGTTAACCAATTTGAGATGCCTAGCAATTTCTCTCACTTGAGCGTGGTTGTCCCGGTGCTGTTTTAGCAAGAAGGTTGTTTCTGGCCGAAAGTACCTTTGCTTGGCGGCGTCCAGAGCAGAGAACCCATGACTGTTTCGTATCAGAGGATCGGCGCCTTTTTCTAAAAGCCGTTTGACTGAACTACATGCTCCCACCAAACTGGCCATATAAATCGGAGCCATCGCAAGAGGAGAGAAAACGTCATTGATTTGGTGTGGAGCATCATACTTCTTAAGCAACTGGACGAGTACTAGGTCAGGCATCTCGTGATGCCTGCAGGGAAAGCCAGCCTCTGTGATATTAGACAAGGCTAAGTGCAAAGCTGAAGATGGTTCCTCGGGAGAGAAAGCAGTCCGAGATCCGCCTGAGCCCCCTTTATCGGGTAGGTTCAAGAGGAACTTGATCCTTTCTGCCGCATTCCTGGTTCGCATACGGATCAACCCTCCTAGGAATGTCCTATGGTTGCGGGCCACCCTATGGTTCTCAGCACCTTGATCGTATAGATACCGAGCTACCGTCAAATTACCGGAGTAAACGGCCGTCTCAAATGGTGTCCTGTCCAGGGATGGCGAGGTACCGTCGATGGGAACTCCCGTTTCCAAAATGCTGCGCACGGTGGAAATGTCGTCTGACTCCTTGGCGGCTCTTACCAGGGAACTGTCTCCCCATCGACCTAGAACTGTCGTACTGGCTCCAGCTTCCAGTAGTGCTTTGACCATTTCGTGATCACGATGATTGATGGCCATGAAAAGAGCAGTTTCTCCACCAAAACCAACATCGATCTCCGTATCAAATCCACAATCCAGACCAGCAAGCATGACGTCAGCTGCACATTGATGAAATGCAACAGCACAAACGGCGGGCATCTTGGTGCAGCCTACTTCCAAAACAGCATCCGTGGGAGCTCCGTGGCCGACAAGTAGAGAAATAGTGTCTCTCGTCTCATCCTCAAAATTTAGACCGTGTCGTAGGAGCCGTGACCAACGGGAACTTCCTTGTAAAGGCCCAAAGAGGGGTCGAATGAATACCTCCTTTCCTTGGACCATCGGCACCGTGTCTAACACTCCTTCACTGGCCCCTGGGCTTTGTAGAATCCGACAGAGAATCGCCGAATGACACATGTAAGATGCCATCTGCAAGGAATCCAATGGCACCGAGTCGCTGACCTTACAATCTGCACGGAACAGAGGGTCTGAACCAACAGCTAGCAGTGCATCAACTGCTGCCAGATTCTTCGCTGCGACTGCCCAGTGCAACGGAGTCCATTCTTTCGTGGCATTGGCAGGTCGAGGAAATTTCTCAAGTACTCATCCCGCACATACGTAACTGCAAGTGCGTTCGGATTTCCACCTTGCTTGTGTAGCAGGTGCGCGATAGGACCCGTGTCGGAATCGGGAAAAAACACAGAGCCAATGCAACGGAAAGATACCCGAGGTGTCTCCTATGCTGGCATCTGCTTGCTTGCTGACCAGCAGCTTGACGATGTCCACTCGGGCAAGTCTACATGCAACTAGCAGTGGGCTTTCACCAGCTTGCGAGACTGGCTAGTTTAGCAACTGGGGATTGTTGCGGATGAGTTCTTCCACCATGCCCCCCCTTTCGTGGATTATGGCCAATACCAGTGACTGCGATGTGGAAAGCTGTCCCTCACATTGCCCGTCAACGACTGCCTGCTGTGACTGAAGGAGACCAAAGCCCTCGGATTCCAAACGCCTCGTCTGGCTTACTTCCTGAGCTGATCTCCAAGACGAAGCTGATGCCGCTTTCAGCTTTTCAAGCGCCGTGTCACTGCCTAATTCAGCGGTTCTTTTGAGCCAATCGACCCACAGGCCCAAAGGTACCGTAGCATCTGGGGGTCCTGGGGGTCCTTGATGGTCGAAAATGTTGATGAGCGTTGTCTGTGCTTGCTCGTGGCCCCATTTCGCGGCACGGAGTAGGAAGTCATGAGCCGTATTAATGTCGAAACGAACTCCAACACCATTGACGTGAGCAACAGCAATGCTGAATGAAGCAGCAGCTCTTAGCTTGTCGTCGGTGGAGGTGGAGCAGATGGACCCCAAGCTCTGACCGAGGTCTTTCTGGATGCGCTTGGGCGTCTTTTGGTAGATACCGGCAGTATTTCGCAGCTTGAAATGCTTCAGCATACCAGTCTAATCTGGTGACAAAGTAGACACTGGGGCACTTACATCGGGAATGAAGTCTAAGCCACGTCGAAAGTTGAGTTTGTCATGGACTCTGTTTGCTCTTCAGATTAGTTTCTGCTTATGCGCCCTTGGTTACTCGGCTTACATTAGTTGCTGGGAGCTTACCGCTGACGCTTGCTTTGAAATAGAACCTGAGTCGGGTGTCAGACCTTTCAGGTCGACTAAGAACGAAACGAAAGACTTGACAGAAACCTCAGTGCTCTCTTGTTGATCTGGGGCTCCACCACATGCCTGAACAAGGCCACCCATAACCCGCTTCTCAATGAGATTATAGAGAGAATTCTCAAAGCTATCGCCCTGCATAGCTGTTTGTTTATGAGGAGAAGCATCTGGACTACCTGTGCAGTAGTATCGTGGAGTTTCTTAGCATCAATTGCCAGCATTCTAACCGATCCATAGCCCGGCGGGAGGTTTCCGATAACTCCTTCCGCGAGCCTGTGAAAAACGGTAAAAAACACATCCGCCGGTGTTCCCTGGATGATAGGAGTCTTGGAAGTGAGCTCCCGAAGTGAGTCGAGTGCTCGTTGTACCGGGGTACCATCCCCAGATTCCGAAGGGGCAGATTCGAGAGAGCTTGCTGCATGTCTCAAAACTTCGAGTAGACTCAAGAGCCGATCCATGGATTGAAATCGTCTGCTGGGAGATGCTTGCAAACTGTAGCGCCGTATTTTACAGAGTATCATCAGAGGTAGATCATCATTTTGATGGCTATTGAGTACGCGCAAGGGGATGAGGGTTGACATGATACCCGAGGATTTCATCTTTCGTAGATTATCCTCGAGTCCTTCAGTAGGAAAGCTGTCATAGAAGGCCGAACCTGACTCGAAGATGGTGAGCAAAGTGAGGCCATAGCAGTAAATATCCAGCTGCTCTAGGTAGGGCGGACGAATGTTCTCTCCGTATGACTCAGGAGCACAGAAGAACTCCGAGTGTCCGATAATATGGGTATCACCACTGGAGAGTGAAAATCCAAAATCGGAAAGTTTGACGATGAAGCTCCTGGTCTCGTGCCTGCAGACCAGAAGGTTGGAAGGCTTGACGTCGCCGTGAATAATACCGCAATCATGCAGCGCCTTGAGGCCTTGAGCAGTGTCGATAGCAATTTGAATTTGGCCAACAAATGATGAACCGCCGCCCTGTTGCTGGAATGTTTTCAGGCTTCCGTGCTCTGCATATTCAAGGACCAGAGCGGGCATTATGCGTGGTACGCCGGGCAAGGGCTCCCCAGTGCCATGATACATGACAGCCAACAGTTCAATGATATTGTCGTGTCCTTTCAAAGGCGGGTGGCGTAGAATCTGTAGCTCAGTGGCCGCGTCCGCGAATGCACCGCTGTCGCCTTGTGCTGTTGCGAAGCTGGCTTTGGGATGCTTGACAATGACGAAGTCCCGCCCTTTAAGAATGCCCTCCCCCAGGCCGCTCAAGAATGATGAAGTTTTGACTTTTCTGACATCGAAAGACCCGCCACCGATTGTTACATCTTCAAACGTGGGGAGAATATTGGTGATGAATGGGTGTAGGCCCAGATTGGTGTCTCCACTGAGGCAAACACTCAGAAATCCAGCAAAGTGAGGGCATCTCGAGCTTCCACCAATATTGTCGGCATTGCTCCGGACGAGCGAGTCATCTATGGGGCTTGGAACGGGTGCTTTCTGCCGAAATGTCGGAAAACCACTCTGGGAAAAGTCCATGCTTCGTAGTCTGCAACAGTTTGGTCGGCCAGAGTGCTTGGTTGAGCACCTGAAAATGACAGCGGTTCTTAAAGTGCAGCTGGGGAACGTCAGCCTGCAGGTGGTTTTCAGCTTCTGGCCCCGCACCACCCGAGCTGAACACAAACACGTCATATGATCTCTATGATTGAAGAAAACATGATCCGATAGGCCAAGCGAAGGATGAACCCTCACAACTTGTGCATATACGGACACGCCACAATCTTTGAAGAAATCACATTTTCCCTCAAGCACAACACTCCTCACAACGTCCAATGAATTCCAGATTGGCGTTTCGGGCCTCGGTATTGGGGCCTTCAGCGGTATTCTCGATGTTCTGTCGTCTTGCAATAAGCTTTACGGGATGTGGCGAGCTATGCGCGGTCTCGACAGCCATTTGAACATCCTTCGCGCAAAGCTCCTGTTGCAACATGCCCTCTTGGAACAGTGACAGCGGGACTGGCTCATATTTCCAGTCACTCCACGCCAGACCCAAAATGTCAGGAGGCAAAGTTTGGTTAAACTTCACGAGCTTGCAATCATCGAGACGTTGAACGCGACTCACTCCTTGCTGCAGGATCTCGAACCCCTCCTGCATGCTACATCACAGAATGAGAAGATGAAAACAGGAATGATTGCTACTGCGAATCGAATGATATGGGCAAGCAGCAAAGCCTTAGACAGCCAGAAGATTTTGGACCAACTTGAATCTCTGCTGGGTGGTCTCTACCGACTCCTTCCAGCCCGAATCCCGAACACTGAAGCATCGCAAGTCATCCTTTCCATCGAGGATATGACCGACGACATGGAAACCGCGGAAACGCTTTCAGGCACTGAAACTTCAAAGTTACAAATCGCAGGCCCTACATCTATATTTGGATGCTCGATATTGCAAAAGGCTATTAGCTTTCGAAATCTCAATACTGAGCTCGAACAAGACCTCAACAATCGTATCAGCAATTTCATGCACCAAAGGTCAACAAAGAACCTTGCCATCAAGGGATCGCGGATTCAAGTCAAGCGAAATGATGATATATCAGCTGGCTTTCGAAGCTTTGGAATTCTTCATGGGAAGGAGTCCGTCATCATCGAATGAAAAACGTACGACACTAGTTGGCAGGGCCAGAAAGGCATCGCTCTTACTGGCAGAATTTTCAACATCTCCCATCTTCTCAACTCCGAAACGAAACCAGTGGAGCTTTTAACGTTGAAGTGCCTTGGAGTCTTTGATGACCCGGAACGGAACGCGTACGGATTCGTATTCCGTTTACCCCCCGAGGGTACTTCGTCCTTGATCGAAGCCGAGATGGTTTCGCTGAAAGCGTTACTGGACACGCCAAGTCCAGAGAACCTGCCGACATTGGAAGATCGATACAACGCTGCTTATGCACTTTCACTGTCGCTTTCAGTCATTCATGGAGTGTCGTGGCTTCATAAAAGCATACGAAGTCACAACGTGTTGTTTTCTGTCTCAGCCAGCGGGCGGCCTTTTTGGTCTCGACCTTATGTTGTAGGCTTTGAGTTTTCCAGACCCAACAGCGTCGATGAATCATCAGAGAAGCCGGAACAAAGCGCCAGGTTCAATGTTTATAGGCATCCAAAAGCGCAAGGAACGCCTGGCGAGGGATATCAGAGAGCATTCGATATCTATAGCCTGGGTGTCATACTAGCGAGCTTGCGATGTGACGCCCGATGTGGAAAATGTATAAAGATGGTATGGGATCCGAGACATTCCAGAAAGCATTGGTCAGTAAGGTACATGATTGGGTTGCGCACTTGATGGGCTCACAGTATTCAAACGCGACGCTCACATGCTTGGGAGAAAACATTGAGAATGGCCAAGACCGAACTGTCCAGTCATTTTACATCAATGTTGTGGAAGTGCTGGGGCGTGTTGTAGCTGAAACTACGTGAGGTAACTACCCACTTTTTGAGCTATTTCATATATACCAATCCAAGCAGGCAAGTTGAGCCGTAGTGTAAGCTCCTTATCGTCCCAACCCTGATAGGCGATGTATTGTATGGAGATGCAAACTGTAATGAACCTTGTGTCAGTGAGGTTGATATTTTCGGACCGACAACCTTGACATTTATCATGGGCTTGTGCGCTGAAAGCTGAGACAAACGCCGACTCGGAACTACTGTTACGCGCTCCCTACTTCAATACATCTCGGGGTGGGAGAGCTGTTGCTCGTGAGTTGGCAAGATATATGAATAGCATATTGAATGAGCAGCCTCCTAAAGCTATTGTATTGTAGCATATAACGCAAGAGAAAACTAGTCTCATGGATGCACATCCCATGCAGGCCACATCAAATGACTTTGTCGGGCGTCTCTGGAGAGGATGATACAATACCTGCCTCCGCGTGATCGATCGGGTGACCTTTCTTCGCTGCACGAACCAAGGCCGGATTCTCAGCCTTGAGCTCAGCAAATTTCTTCTCTGCGTCCCAGTTCCAGATGCTGTCGCTGGCAAAAACGAGATCCATCTCCTCCAAAGTGCGCTGGTTGGACTCTGGATATAGTGCCCAAACGATAACGATGCAGAGAACATTAACGGCGCCGAAGAGGTAGAGGGTTTTCTCGTTAAGTTTCTCGAAGATCGTTGGAAGAAGCAGTACCTAGGTTGATCGTCAATGAGTAAACAGGGTGAGTGGTGTTTCTTGAGGATGCTAACCGTCCACCCATTTCCGATAGACCATCCAACAACACCCCAAGCATTACCCTTCGCGCGGACTTGAAGCGGGAATATTTCGGCCGGATAGAGCCAAGGAACAGTAAGCCTTCAAGAGGTGAATGTAAGTATGGACAACTCCAATTAGATGCGGGTTCGACTGACCATGTAGCACCGAAAATGGCAGTGTATAAGAAGACGAAGAATGTTGCAGCGCCACCGAGTCCAGAACGATTCCCGGGGTCGGCATTCAAAGTTGCGCGAGCTAATCCGCCGGCACAAAACATGCATATTCCTTGCCCGGCTGCGCCCCAGTACAAAGTCCACCGCCGACCAATGCGATCAAGAGTGAATACACAAATCAGGGTCGCGAACTACCATCGATTAGTCAATTGAAACAAAACGAACAGGAAATGAACAGATTGTTCACATACCATATAAGTAATGTTGTTGACACCACTAACCCAAAGGCGCTGTTCAGAGCTTATACCAGCAATGGTAAAGATCGTAGGCCCATAGATTGTGATGCCGGCAATGCCAACCCACTCCTGAAGAATCTGCAGCCAAACCACAAGCTGCACGCGACGAGCCGTGTGCAACTTTCCGGAGCCCCAGCCAAAGAACATCGCAATATAGCTCTGCTGCTTGGCAGTATCATGTTCCAAAGCTTTGATGTTGATGATATCCTGAAGTTCGGCCTCGGCGAGCTCACCGTCTTCACCTTCATTACCACGGAGTCTCCCAAGAATAAAACGGGCCTCTTCCTCACGCCCCACTTTCACGAGCCATCGTGGCGACTCGGGCATGAACCATATCATGAGAAATAGAGCAATCAAAGGGACAATCTGAAACGCAATCGGGAATCTCCAGATGAAAGAAGACGTAGGGTCTTTGTACTTTGATGTTCCGCTGAAGAACTGTTAGTTCAGTTGACTGTCCTTGTTTCTGTAAAACCCACAATTGCAGCCAGTATGCAACAACTACACCGAAAATGTTCAGCGTGAATTCCATAGCCACGAACATACCTCGTGAAGTATGGGAGGCGATTTCAGTTGCCCAGACAGGCGTGATAGCGTTTAGCATGCCGGTGCCGATGCCGTTTAGGACTCGAGCTGTGGTCTTGATCAACAATGGTGATGCCAATATGAAGAGAGAACGGCGAGTCCTTACCACAAAACATCCAGTTCGCATTCTGAGCAGCTGACTGCAGGGCAGCTGTAAGAATGGACCAAATGCAAGCGACCCCGATAGTTTTGAGCCTTCCGTAGCGATCGCCAAACCAGCCACCAATGAGGCAGCCTACAAGTGTTCCGGGGAGGTAATACACGGCAACCTGGCGCTTAGGGTTAGACATTGCAATATGACAATATGGTTGAGAACTCACAATTCCACCTTGTAGCAACGGCTTGTCTACCACGACAATTTGCTCGTCTTCGTCCCAATGGCCGAAACCCATGAGCTCAGCATAATTCCGCGCGGTGTTCACTCCTCCCATCAGTCCTTGGTCATAGCCAAAAAAGAAGATTGAAACACCGGCGACCAAACACACAGTGTTCAGTAACGAGGCCTTGTAAAGCCTGTTGGCGACGTTGTACCGCCCGAGGCGGCCCGGAATGCTGGACATTGTGACAGCTACTTGCACTGTTGGAATGGGAAGCCAGTAATTTGTCTTTCTGTTGGAGTGCGAATTTCTCAATTCTTGGAGACGAAGAGATGATGTGTGATCGGCTCACGGGCAATGAGAAACGGCAAAGGTCGGGTGAAGGCCGGGGCATTTTCCGAAGCCTGCAGCGGGGGCGGGGCATGGCGTTCATTCGCTCCACCGAACAAGAGTCCGCAACGGTTCGGGGGGACAATCATTTCTTTTTGTGGCATGATCAAGTGATGCTATGCACCTATGAGCAGTGATCCAATTCGCACGCATAGCAGTCCGGGCAGAACCCCGAAATCCCCGATGTCGCTGAAAAAACACCCCCAATGCACTGCGTGTTAGAGAAGGGTTCAGTGACTGACATTGTTCATCTTCATTAAGCGATCCAACGGAACAGATTAGCCCCGCTACCCACGATGTCGAACCCGCTCAAGAGTCAAGTGAATCGGTTTTTGACTAGCCCCCGCGCCGAACGTCGGAGCCGGGGAGGCCCTTCTGTTGCATGCCTTCTGGTTCGGGAAGTTTGAGGCGCAGCAACATGTAGGAGGTGAAATCATCGCGAAGGGTACTTTTCGAAGACGCCCATGACGTCAACTCATCGTGTTTGGCTTTGTTTTGCTTTGCAGCATTATCTGCGTGAATGTGGGGCGGCGGTCGTGTGGAACAACGCGTATTAAACCCGGAAAACACGCAGCGCATTTTCGCCAAAGAGCGCTGGAAATATGTGGTAATGAGAGACGAGCGGTCAAAACAATATTGCGGCCGCGATCTTGAGATAAGAAATAAAAACGCTGTCAATTCATTTTGGTTGCGGTGCACTTCTATTTACAGCCGGATGGTCGGACGTAGGCGTGGTTCTGGGAACCGCCAGCAGAGTTGCCAGAAGCAGGCCCTTGATAAGTGCTGAGCAAGCTGCAAGATGTGGAACTGCCCTGGTAGAATGATGCAGCAACGCAAGCTGCATTTGCGGCACATTTTGAAATGCAATCGCCCAGGCTAGTGGCATCAACATAACCAAGATAATCTCCGGAGGCCAGCCTGCCACAGTAAATTTGGAATCTCTTGGAGCTCGATGTCAAACAATAATTGTTGTTAGTAGAGCACGTCGGGTTGCTTGATGCCGTGCCGGCACATGCTGGTGCAGGGCAGGCAGAGCAAGTTCCAGGAGAAAACGATGTCTGGCAGCCAAACCCGCAAAAGTCGCTTGATGTGCCACAATATCCGTTCTTCGAGCTGCAAAGAACAGAAGTCAGTCATCTTTGCTACTGGACCATGAGGAGCCATATTCCATGAACTCACCAACACGTCCCTGATGGACAAGTATATCCGTTTGAGCCACCGCAGCTATTATCTGGGCTTGTTTTGCTGCCCGTTGCCGCGGGTTTCGCAGCGGAAGTAGTGGCGCCACCACCACTCGACGCAGAACAGGTTCCGAAGGAGCTTTGGCAGCCAGCAGCACAATGATCGCTTGACGAGCCGCAGTATCCCCACTGACTGCAGCAGTCGCCAAAGCTGCTTCCTTGGCAGGTGAACCCCGCAGTCCCACCGCAAGTTCCATCCTGGCTTACTGATTTCCCACCGACGGTGATCGAGCTGCAATCTCCGAACTTGGACTGGCAGCCGTTGAGGCAATGGTCATCTGAGTTACCACAGTATCCCCACTGACTGCAGCAGTTGCCAAACGACCCTCCTGTGCAGGTGTACGCGTTGATGCCTCCGCATGTCCCATCCGGAGAAATCTTTGTCGAAGAAGACGATGTTGTCGTGCATCTGCCAAACTTGGACTGGCACCCGGCCCCACAATGGTCATCGCTGACTCCACTGTCGACGGCGTCAGTTGCTGTTCTGTGAAGGCTCATCTAGTGCAGAGCATGTGCAATACCTACCACCAGTTGTATTGACTGCAACACAATGAACCGGGACATGTCAGCCCTTTGGTGCCTCCACAGGTGTTGTCAGTCGAGACGGCTGCTGCTGTAATTCCCACCAGAGAGAAGAGCGCGGTGACGATAGGGTTGACCATTTTCTCCTACGCACGATGTGTTTCGTAACAGAACGTGTAAATCTTTTGATTCTGAGATAAATGGTCGTTCTTGAGTCTGATCGATAAAGGAAGTGAGGATGGGATTCAATGTGAAAGCGACTGGCTTATAGCGACTTATTACATAACTGGCTATTTCTATGGTTGCTGCTTGCGAACAAAGGCATTCCAACGCGTCTATTGCATTGCATCGACACGGTTCTGAGGACATGTCATGATTGTCTATCGTGCGCAGAATTTAAAATTTGCTAAGTCATGAACTTTTGGTTAGCTACGATGTCTCTTACGCAAGTGGCTAGTAGATAGCCCACAGCTTAGCGTTCGTTTTGGGTTTGAGATGCCAGCTTGATTGCTTGCAATTGTCTGATGTCTCGACGTATCTCCACGCTAGTCCTAGCTGGTGACTGGCATTTTGATCCGTGCTTATTGTGTGAAATCATCGCTGCTTCCGGCGACTTTGTTTTCTCCTCTGTGGTATGGGAAAATAGACATGCATGCCGTTGATGTTTAGGATCATCATTAATTACATATGAGCTCCTTCATTTCCCGGCAGACGCCATTAAGTCGCCACGGCCGGCCCGGTGGCGCAGATCCGTTCCTGTCTAGCGCAATTGTGTGTTGTACTTAATTGAACTATCCCCAGGACGTCGGTATCGACAGTACTGTACCTAATCTTGCGATGATAACATGTTGACAAAAAGCCATTTGTCCCTGTTCTAGTCTACTTGTACTTATTTGAAGTTAGGTCGAAGTGCTCGATATGTAGGTCTAATGAGAAAGTGTTGCAAGAACAGCGAAGATGTGACTGATTTTCGTGCAATAAGTCAACAGCATTATTAATCAGCTCCATGGGATCTTACGAGCCTTGACTACAACACGCTACATGCACCATGATAGCAACCTATTCGCTCATAAGTGTCCCCAGAAATGACGCCTGCAATGCTATATTTGTGCGCTCCAATCTTTTATGGGACTAGGATCTAACTTCAGGACGTCTTTTAACAGTGTTCCCCTAACTATCCGCATATCAGCAGCTTTCCTTGAAATCTCTAGCAAACAGAGGCGCGTAACAATTCCTCATTAGGAACTCTGCACTCCCACCGGCAATGAGACGCTACACAATAACCCATCCTAATGTTGGATTGCACACCAGGCCGAGTAGGCCCAGTCGAATGGTCGGTTGTGTTTTTCCTTGGCCTAAAAAGCAACAGCAGATTTCAGGTCTTCGAAAGACCTTAAAAACCACAGAACCCCTAGACGCCGGTTTAAATGTGTTTGACATGATCGCACGAAGCTTATTCAATCAACATGTACTTTTCGTTTATCATTCTCTTTACAGCTTTTCCTTTCCTGGCTCTCGCCTTGCCTGGGATCTCTGACGTGCCATGGGCCAACGTAACGATCTCAGCTTCCCCCGACCGACGGTATTTGTACGAAACCAAGACTGGTCGGCCATTTTTCTGGATTGCGGATACGAACTGGGAACTCTTCCATAAACTGAATAAAACTGATGTCGACATCTATCTTACGGACCGCGCTGCCAAAGGCTTCAATGTAATTCAGGCAGTTGTCTTATCTAAGTATAACGTCACCACTATACCGAATTTCTATGGACATCTTGCCATAGATAACGCAGATGTCACTCAGCCCAACCTGCAGTATTTCGAACATGTCGACTGAATCGTTACCCGCGCTGCAGAGTATGGAATTCTAATCTGCTTTGTTCCAACCTGGGGTCGGTATGTCAACTGGGGATGGTATGGCACCACCGGGTACAAACTATTTGACAAGGATACCGCTGAGTGGTTTGGCCGATTTCTGGGTAATCGGTACCCCGGAATTCCAAAAAATGATGGGCGGTGATTCAAACGGTTTCTGGGCGAACAACGTACCTCAGGCTCGTGCGGCCTGGCGTGAGGATCCCGAGTCTGACCCCAAATCTCATCTCGGACCGATTGAAAATACCAGATCAATATGGGCAGCCATGATGAGAGGATTCATGAAAGAGGAAGCGAAGAAGGGTTACGACGCGTTCGTCACGTTCCAGCCTACCAGCCCTTGGATAGCTGACCCACCAACCCCTCTGCCATACGGACACAACGTAAGGAAATAAACCCGTGTCAAGAATGCGTTCTAACATACCTTATTGCAGTACATCAACGGAAGCTTGGGGAGCTTAAGTATGGATGCCGTTCAATCGGGGCACGAAATGCCGGATCCCACCGGCGTTGACTCTGCCTTCACTGTCCTTCGGCCGTGGGATTCACGCAAGAACTACGAAAATATCATTCAAATGCGAAAAGAGTTCTCCGGCCCTGTGATGGACGTCGAGAATCATTACGAGGGAGCTCACGATTCGTTCAACACAAGCAAACGAGTATGGAATGAATCGGATGTCCGGCATGGCTTCTACCCTGCGTTGTTTTCTGGGGCTTATGGGATCACATTTGGTTCTCTTCCCGTCCAACAGTCATACGAAAACATTTCTCTCATTGCTGGACCCGAACATTATATGCCACCGCAACTTGGGCTGTCCGAGAATGCGAGTTGGCATGATGCGCTCGACTGGCCTGGCGCAACTCAAACTGGATATGTCGGCCATTTGCTGGCGGATTTGAGAGATCGTCAATTCAAAAATCTCACTCTCGTTCGCGAATTGATATCATCACCAGCAACTTCAGCAGATTACATACTAGCATTCGAGGCCGATCGGTACATTGCGAGCATGATGACAATCGGCCGCTTCTGGGTATATAGTGGATGGGGCGACGCTTTTGAAGTTGATATTCAAGCCTTAGCGGCAAGATGGGATTTGACTTCTGTAAGCATGACCGTCAATTGGTTCGACCCACGAACGGCTGTACTCACGAATGCGGGAACGATTGACTCGTCATCAACGGGCGGGAGGATGACTTTCACGCCTCCAAGTCACGGAGGGATAGATTTTGACTGGGTATTGTGTTTGAAGGCTGTCTGAGTACTGATGAAAGAGTACACGAAAAACCACATTGGACTGGGTTGGCTCAACGCTGCATCGCCGGGGAAATACAAGGAACATTTCACGAAATATCTTATTTCATCTAGATCTACCAAACCTTTCCAGCCCCAGAGTGTTCACTCCGGGTCTGTCTGGACATTGCATTGCTCATAGACTACCTGCAACTTCAAGGCAGTAGAAAAATATGTGGAAGCGGAGAACTCTCTCGAGGTTGTAGGCACTGTATGGACAACACCACTGCATCAATTTCGTAAACTCCATAGAGTCATGACAAATATGTGTTGCATTGGTCATCAAGTGCCATTCAGGTAGGTCACCGCGAGGGGTCAATATATTTATCTGCATCCATACGGTACACTACCTGAGGGCGGGGCAGGCTCAGGCATAAAACTACCGCTTCAACACTCAGCCTGCCAATGGACTTGAGGTAAAGTCGATTGTACAACCTCTCGGCGCCGAGATCCAGGTATATGATCTACCAGGCTGACAAATCTTCCGGGAGTAAGTCTACAGCCAACGCCCGATTAAGCCAGGGGTTGCATTTGAAAGCTTTCTTGTATATTTTGTGGATTGGCCTGTTAGTATTGTATCTTATGAGATACTTTGGACCTTAATCAACCAAACAAGCCTGACTTACGACATGGGAGTTCCAAAGACGTCACTTATACCATGGGATCCTTTGAACGCTGATCATTTTCAGCGGATGTTTAACTAAAGGGTTGCATGCGGCTCGCGATGCGAGGAGATTCCAGAATGGAGAAGTAAAACCATTATGAACCAAAAGTGATTTTACTGGATCGTCTGTTCTGTCTTTCCTCCAGAATAAATTCGGGTCCAGATGCTGACGTTTGGAAGACACTCGCCGATGACATCCCCCAGCGAGACGACCTGCTTGCAGAGCATACTAGTCAGTACCCGAATGTAGGCAGAAAGGCTATTGACACCCACAGATGACAGTAACGACTGACTCAAGACGCCCAGGAGTCTGTTGAGCTGACAGATACGGCGAGTGCGGTTCTCCAAACATCTCGCAAACCAACACACCGACCCTTCATCCCCGTCGGCCATATTGCCCTTGAGCTGCTCCCCGAGCAAAACAAGCGGTCAAGTCTATCATCTCCCACAATTTGGGTGATGTCTCTATATGTCTCATGGTTCGTAGACGAAGAGAAAGCTGGACACATCTCATCGGCTACTGCTAAGCATATTAGGGCTCTCCAAAGTGCTGGCCTTGGCCGCAGTGCAATGGCCCAGATCGAGGATCTCGCTAAATTCCCGCCATTCAATCATGACACGATCGCGCTTGACACGGTGCAGAAAGACTTTCAGTTGTCACAGAATAAGTTTGGGAAAACCCCTCATACACCTAGCAAAGGGATCCGCACAAGCGAGGAATGGTACACACGTCAAGGATACCAGGCCATCGCAAGAGTAGATAGAGGATATATTTGGATGGACCCTGAAACGCAAGGGCATGTACCAGTGCCACTGGTGTATATGATTAAGAAGCTTGTCTAGACGCATAATGTCGGATCAGATTGCCTGTGAGAATCGCATAATCTGCTTCAGCATGTTACAGTAGGCCAACTGCCATATGGCGTACGCCACAAAAAACCAGAGTTTCCAGTAGAGCAAAGTAAATGAGCAGATGTCTGCTCCAGCTGGTGCTTGAAATCAGGCAAACAGTCCATAATGCCGAGCCTCATCTGCAGCACTTCTTTCCGCGGTGTTTCTAGCTTCCTTGAGTAGGATTCTCTCCGCATCCCAGAATGCCGAGGGAGCATTTGCGTCGTTGACCTTCCATTGTGGGATCCATGAGGGCTTCAGGGCGGTAGGCTCCAGATCTTCGGCGCTGTTCCGAACTTGCACGAGAAAGGTTCAGGGTTTGGTTCACCAACCTTGACGTAGCCAGGTGATGAAGCTCGGCTAGACAACGGCGATAACTAGCCTCAATCAAAGGTCGGCCCATGTCTATCATCATTGCTTTGGGATGCCCTAAAAGGCGAAAACAGGATCCAATTATACTAAATCATCTTTCCAAGGAAATAAAATCACCCTATTCCATCACGCCCCTCAAGAGTATCCTCCTATTAATCCTATATGTCCGCCACACACAGGCTATCAAGAGGCTCGATCAACTCACATGGTTCACCCGCGTTTGAGTTCTTCAGGAGGTCGGTCTTGCAACCAAGGCCACGGCATCTTGGGGCGACCATCATGTCGTATTCAGCGAGATCGTTGTCTTCATTCACTTTGCGATAGCAGACGAGGATCTCGTTAAACTTCTCGGATAGGAAATCCAAGATGTTATATTCCGCTAACCGTACTACGCCTTCTAGAACGTGTTGTCAACATATGATAAGATGGGATCTTGGTTGGACACCACGCCGGTCCTCAACGGCTTCGGGAGGTCCTTGAAGGCGGACTGCGCCATCGATTTTGTGCTTTTTTTCTTTTTTCGAGGCGTAGAGTCGGTTTAACGCTACTAATCCGCAGAGATGACGCTTGCGTCCGGCACCTCGGACTGCTTATGCTGCGTGCCGTTCTTGACAATTAAATTGGCAAGTGCTACACGTTAAAGGCCGTCTGTGGGAAACCGTCGAGTCGTCACCAAGCCAGACGATCGTTTCGGTGGCTTGATCTTAGATGATGGTATGGGATTTACCTGGTGCGCCGTCTCCGTGTCGTCGGATTGGTTAATGCAAATGGCATACGCTCATACTATCTCCACGCGGTCGGCTCTTCTAATGCGTCGAAGGCCCTGCAACAGGCTGAGGGTGACATCTCTATAGAAGGGAGAGCACTTGATGCTCTCAAAGTTGATAGAATCTCCCAAAACGTATGACAGAGCCTTCCCCTTGGGGGCTGAATGGCAACGGCGACAAGATCACAAATCAGGGGGTCAGTTCGCTGGCCCGAATGGAGGTGAAGTAGATGGAACTATCGACCGGGAGGCAGCGCATCATACTGACAAGTGACAAGGATTGTCCTGCACTATTGTGATATTGAGATGTTCCGAGGCTGATTACCTCGACGACTGTGTCGAAAAGGTTTTACGTGCGGTGGGGTATGAAAAGAGCCACTAGACATCGCGCATCTCCATACAACTCTGTTGGGACTACCAAGGACAAAAGTACCTGCAGTCAGCTGACTGAAAACCCACGTCTTCTTGGCATCCATGCCCCATATTGTTCGCCCAGCTGTGGCGAGCCTTTTTCACGTGGCTATAAACCTAGATCAGAGGGGAGTGGCCACAAATTAGGGTCTGCTGTACATGACAGGGTGGCACTGATACTTACTCTCTGTATTCTAACTACTCTTGGTTCCATATCGAAGTCACAAATCCTACCCTACCTGCCTTAGTGATAAGTGATATCATAAATACCTTAAAGTGAACAGCTTTAGTTTCTTTCGCACTCTCCTTCCTTGACAGTAGCTCCTCATCCTCGGGCTTTTGGCTGCCTAGAAGGCGGTGATGATCTGGTCCCTGGCTATCCTCTTGTCGTGGGGCGTATATTAGCTAGGGTGGGTGCCGATGGACGTCTGACAGTCATTTCTTTTTCTCTCTCGTAAAGGCGTGTGTAGTATTGGCTGTGCATATCCCATGCCAGCTCAAAAAAGAATGTTTCCCCTCTGATGGACTTTCCTTCGGCCACATACGTCCTCCCAAAGAGCAAGACAACAAGACGTGTCTTCCGCCCCGTACATGCATTCATTCCTGACCAAATATACCACCCACGTTCGTTTTCCCGGGGTATTCGTCGTCATTACGTCTAAATCTTACCTTTAACCCATCTTTAGAACGATGCGTCTTCTTAGGACCTTGTCCGTCAGCGCCTGGGTGCTCAGTATCGCGGAGGCTCTTCCCCGTCGCGCCCAAACCTTGGCCAAAAGGGAGGTTACCGAGCTCCGGGAAGATGGTTATGACTTTGTTATCATTGGCGGTGGCACCGCAGGCCTCACAGTGGCTGACCGCATCTCAGCTGCCTTCCCAGAAAGTACGTTGTGAAATCTCAGCCCATTTTGCCACAGCTTGTGTGACCCTAAACCTTCCTTGCAGAGTTCGTCCTGGTCATTGAGTACGGCAAGATTGAGGGCACCGTCGGCTATTTTGACCCGTCCGAGGACGGCCGTGGTGCCAGTCGCCTTGTCATCACCTCCCCCCCGGTCGCCAGCGTCAACAATCGCTCTGCTACCGTCATCCTAGGCATGACCGTTGGTGGCGGCTCCGCAGTCAACGGCCAGTTCCTGGACCGCGGTTCGCGGTATGACTATGATGAGTGGGCGCGCCTCGGCAGCCCCCAGTTTGCAGACAGCCCCCATCAATGGGACTGGGAGAATTTTGGTCCCGCGTTGAAGAAGGTCAGCTTCCTGCTTATCTCAGCCCCCCCCCGTCCACCCGCCCCCTTCTGACGACCTGTTATCAGTCATTGTTTCTCACAGAGCCCAGCCATGAGCTCGTGAAGGAGTATGGCTACACCTGGGACGGCTCCCAATTCGAGGGCGACGCCATCGAGGCTTCATTCCCGCCTTTCCAATGGCCGATCCGGAGTACGTAACTATCATTCAACTTCTATCACATATGATAGAAAATCGTGTTAATGGGACGCAGAGTTTGGTTGGAAGGCGTACGAAAAGTTCGGTCTCGAGACCCCCGTGACCTGTGATAACGGTGACAAGCATGGCCTCTGTTCGGTTGCGACAGCCCAGAACTCAGTGACGGTCGAGCGCTCCCACGCCGGCGTCGGCCACTACACCAGGATCGCCAACTCACGACCCAACCTAGACCTTCTCGTCGAGCACAAGGTCACTCGCCTAATCATCAGCAAGAATGAGACCATTCCCGCCATTGAGTTTCGCCCTGTCTCCGGCAGCAACGGCACAGTCCGTACTATCCGCCCCCGCCACGAGGTCGTCTTGTCCGCTGGCGCGATTCACACCCCCCAGATCCTGCAGCGCAGCGGTGTCGCCTCAGCCGCCTACCTCAAGGCCGAGGGTATAAAGGTCGTCGAAGACCTTCCTGGGGTCGGCCAGAACTTTCAGGACCACTGTGCCGTGCCCATCACGTTCTCCTTCGATAATGCCCCTTCCCCAAACGAGGCCGACATCACAATCAACACCACCTACGCCGCTGAGGCCGTCGCCCAGTTTCGCGAGCGTCCCGCCCGCGGCCCATATACCCTGGCTATGGGCAATAGCGCTGCCTACGTCGCCCTCCAGAACGTTACTGCCCAGTGGCAGTACATTGTCGCCGACATCCGAGCCCAGATTGCTGACGGCTCCGCTCTGCAATACCTCCCGGCTTCCGCAGACAAGACCGTTCACGCCGGCTACCTTGCCCAGCTTCAGGCTATTTCCGAGGCCCTAGAAAATCCGAAGCACCCCATTCTCGAGATGCCCTTCCACGCCGCGCCCAGCATGGCCTTTCTCCTCAAGCCTCTGAGCCGCGGCTCTGTCGTCCTTGATCCGGCTGACCACGACGCCACTCCTATTGTCAACTACGCCACCGGCACCAACCCCGTCGACCTTGATATCATGAGCTCTTACATCGACTACTTCCGCCGCCTTTATGCCATCGACACCTGGAAGGACCTCGGCCCCGTCGAGGTCGCACCCGGCGCTAACGTCACCAAGCACGCGGCCCTCGTAGACTGGGTTAAGGACACCGTCGTTCAGTCACTGATGCACCCCTGCTGCACCGCCGCCATGCTACCGCGCGAGAAGGGCGGAGTTGTGGATTCGAGTCTCGCTGTCTTCGGCATCTCTGGCCTCCGCGTTGCCGACTGCTCTATCATCCCCACTATCCCCGCGAGCCATACCACTACGACGGCGTATGCAATTGGTGAGAAGGTGAGTTTCTGTTCTGATAGAGTTGAAGCGCTCACACAATAACTTGCGCAGGCTGCTGAGATTATTATCAGTAAGTGGAAGTAGATCCTCCACTGCTATAAGGCCTAAACAAGCTTTATGTAAGAGTAACTCAAATGTCAATCTCGGTGAGGGCTAGAAACATGAAAAGCTTCAAGCTGCATATGGTATCAAATTCCTTACGTTGTAAATAAAACGTTGACTAAAGGTTTATATATGCACAGAGTAACTGAGATTGATGACGCCGCACATAGCGCGGCGTTGTCTTCACAAGATCCAGTCACCTAGTAAACAAAACCCATCATCTGCCTCCAACTACCAACCAAACGCTTAGAGATCCATCTTGAATGAGTAACATATGTTGTTGAGGGTGCTTCCCTGCTTGACATTCTCTCCCTCGCAGTTACGTGCGGCGATAGCGACTCGGAGACAATGCCTGCACTCATTGCGATTCTCCAGCTACGTGTCGGCCCCACTTACTGACTTGGCGGTCGTCTTCGGCCTGAGGTAGCATTGATATATGTCGAAGTTCGGATAACCAAACAGGGTAAAGAGACGTAACGCTTTTGACTGCATGGGGGGAATACTGATAGAACTCTTGATTTGCCTGCGCAGTCTACCTATCCTTCTTGTGTGGGGCCCGCGAGCCTGGGGCCATCGGCGCAGCTGCCGAGCAATCAGTCAGGCTACTTGCAGCAGTACGTCGTAATTAAAGCTCTCGTGGCGCCCGATTGAAGCCCTCGTCCACCCAATGGGATTCCTCTATTACCAGGGTGGATAACCCCTACAGACAAGATGGCGAGGTTGCATGGGCAATTCAACCAGACTCATTTCTGTAAACCGACTCTCAATGTAACGTGAGCTTACGCCGAGGATCGGTCAGCACTTGGCGCAGCAGTAACCTGACGCGCCTCGACAGCCTTGCCTCGTGGGGCTGCCCTTGGCAACCGCAAGCTATCCCGCATGAGCGGGGATGTTTGTATGCTGTCGTGATGCCCTCAAGTATCCGAGGCAGCCTCGCGCTCAGAGGAAGGTACGAGGTAACCCACTTCCGACCTACTTATTTAGACCAATAATATTCTAATATATTAGGATCTATTCTTTAAAAGACCTTTTATATTAGACTCTAATTTAGAAGGAATTAAGCTATTTTATTTATATAGATATTATATATATATTATAATTAGTTTATAATAATTATAAACTTAGTTTATATTATATTTCTAAACTACTATTTATAAAATAAATTATAATTTTATTTAATCTAATCTTATATTTATTATATTCTACTTTAATTCTTAAACTTAGTTTTTATAATTACCTTTAACTTATAGTATACTTCTAAAATAATAGTAATTACTAACTTTAATACTTCTTATAAGCTTACCTCTTATTATAATTTCTTAATCTAATATATTAACTTTTAAGTAGAAATAAAAGTTAAAAATATCTAGAAATATATTAACTTAAATAATACCTCTAATACTTCCTCTAACTTAAGTAAAGTTAAAAATATACCTTTACTTAATAACTAGATTTAGAAGGAAAATAAGAAATAATATAAATATTATAAAGTAAAATAAGAAGTTTATAATAAAATAGTTACTTTATTTACTCTTATTATTTTAAATATATAAAAAGTTACTATAGAAAGTAATACTATTAAAACTACTAATAACTTATTACTACTTATACTAATTATATTTACTCTTCTTATTAAGAGATCTATAAGAATCTTTAAACTTTATACTTTATACTTCACTATATATATAGCTTATAAAGTAAAGTATATATAAAAAGAGTAAATATATAAAGTTTTAGATAAATAAATAAAGGATACTATTTTAAAAGAGATCTTTATATTTATCTAAATAAAACTCTTAGAGAAAGAAGATTATATTTTTTATACTTTAATATATATTTTAAAGTAATATTATACTCTAAATAACTTAAGTAACCTTATTATAATTTATAAAGAATATACTATAATCTTAGATTAAATAACCTCTACTATTAACTTTAATACTTAGATTAAAGACTTTTAAAGTATACTCTTTAAAACTTCTTAATATAAACTACTTAAAGTATAAAGAACCCTTATATTAAAAACCTTCTTTTAAGTAATCTAATACTATTTTACTCTATTTTAAACTAATCTAAAGCTTATTAATATTATTAAATAAGAGCATTTTAATATTAAAATCTAAAGTATAAGTTAGTATATTAATATATTTAAGGACCTTCTTATTATAACCTGTTATATATAGATAATAGTTAACTAACCTACTTAAGTAATAAGCAGCTAGGATAAGATATTTATACTATAGGATTATAGGAATAATAAGGACTTACTTAGAAAAGGAAGAACTATAGTATAAGTCACGTAATAATAAGATAAGGAAATAATTAGTAAAGTATAGAAAGGAACACTTAGTAATTAGTTAGTATTACTAACTAATTATAATTACCTATATACCTAAGTAATTACCTAAAAGTAGATAAAGGATACTATTTAGGATTTATATATAGTATAACTTTAAGCTTAACTTATAGTTAGACTTCTATAGCTCTTTAGTAATTAACTTAGTATTTATCCTTATAGATACTCTTAGCTTACTTTTACTATAAATCACTTATTAAGCTTAAGATTAATTACCTTAATCTCTAAAAGACCTAATCTACTATAGCTTATAACTTATAACTTAAACTATAACCTTAGTATACTATTATAATATATTAATCCCTAGCTTCTATTAGTAAACCTTATTATTAAATAGCTAACTATAATACTTTAATTACTCCTATTTAATAAGTTAACTATTAATACCTACTAATAGTTAAATAATAAGTATATCTTTATATACCTCTACTAAGTTACTTACTCTAAGAACCTCCTCCTCTTTATAGTAACTAGTCTAAAGCTTAGCTAAAAAACTTAAAGGAGCCTCTATAGTAGTAGACTCTAATAATAAAGTAACCCTAAAGAAAGATATTTATAAATACCTTTAAATTAGAGTTAAGAAAGGAGATAATAATATTACTAAAGTCTAAACTATATATAATAATACTACTATAGAACTTTAAAGCCTTAAAGAAATAATATAATAATTAAGAAATAGCCCCTAATATATTATAAACCTAGAAAATAAAGTTATCTAACTTAGAGGATAAAATAGTAATATTAATATTAAAGAATTCTAAGAAGAAATCTATACTTTATATATAGCTACTAATATTATTATAACCCCTACTAAAAGATAATAGAAACTTAAACTTAATACTCTAATTACTTATAATAGTACCTTTAAATAATTTAAGTTATTCCTAATCTAAGTTAAAAACTATTAGAACTTCTATTATAGAGACTTTACTAACTAGACTAAAAAAGTTATCTATACTACTACTTATTTATAAAGATAAGCTTTTAAATAATTTAAACCTATTTAAGAAGAATTCCTTAAATATAAAACTTTAGATAAATACTCTACTAAGACCTATAATATCTATAGTAGCTTTAAGGGATTTAAAGATACTTTCTACTCTCTCTTCTAAGACCTTAATAAGAAATAATAAACTAAGAGAGACCTTATATAGCTATAATAGATAAAGTTAACTAAAGAATATATTACTATATTTAGATAACTTAATATCTAACTTAACTTTATTAAAGAAACTAAGATCTTTATATTCTATTAAGGACTTAAGGATNTAATATCTAATTTAACCTTACTAAAGAAACTAAGATCTTTATATTCTATTAAGGATTTAAGGATAAAATTAAAGATAAAATTATTAAAATTAACTATTCTAAAAACTTTTTTTAATATACTAACCTTATTATTAAAATTAATAATTAACTTTTTAAATACTATAAGGAAAAAAGTAAAAAAAGATAAAGATTAAACTCTAGATATAAGTACTAATAGTAGCCTTATTAGAAGTTTAGCTCTTAGTAGAATAACTATAAACCTTATAATAACTAAAATAATACCTACTAGAGTACTACCTATAGATAATATAATAAACCTATAGATCTTAGTATAATAACTAAACTTAATAATAAAAAACCTTAAAACCTTAAGTATTATAACTATAATAAATAAAGATATATTACTAGAGATTATAAGTAACCTAAGAAGCTTCCCTAGAAACTAGTAGCTAAATAATTATAATAAGTTAATACTATTATAAAAACCCTATATATATCTTAGTTTTAAACTAAATATTATAATAATAACTATTAAATCTACCTTAAAGATAAAGAAATATTAAGATATTACCTAAAGGATAGTAACCCTAGATATTCTAGATATAATATAATTACCTTAGATATATATCTAAAAACCTTAATAATAATATATACTAATAATAATAAGATCTAAAAGAAAACTAAAGAATAACTAAATAAAATACTCTAAATATAATAACTCTAACTAATTCCTAATTCTACCCTAAAAATAACTAATAGCTAAAGTTAGACTAACTATAAACTTTTAAACTAAACTACTTATATAACACTTAAAAAACTAGAGAGTAATAATAAATAGAAACTTTTATACCTCTAAGTAGCTAAAGAAATATATTTAAAAAGGATTTAAGAAGAGCTTTATAACCTACTTTAGGAAAAATAACTTAATACTATACTCTTATATATAGAATAAAGGAAGTAAGTATATAGAAATCTTATTAAAATTAAATAAATTAATTAAGAACTTTAAGAATAGATAAGAGAAGAATCTAATAATAAACTAAATTACTAATATAACCTCTTAGAGGAATAATAACTATTTAATCTTATAAATAATTAGACTTTTAGAAAAGAAGAAAGCTCTCCTTATAACTTAAATAAACCTTATAATATTATATACTAATATACTTAAATAGAGATCGCCTATAGGCTTACCTCTAGTGTAAATAATACTAGCTCTAAAGAGGAATCTAAGAAAGATAATACACCTAAGTAAATTATATATAAGCAAATTAACTTATATAATAATAAATAATTTATTAAGCTTTATAGTATACTTAATATAGAACTAAGAATATATTATATTTTATAACTTAGA